AAAAAGAACCCCTTTGTCGTATCTCCTCAGTTTCAAGGCACTCCCCTTCTTGCCTCAGCCAGTATCGGTATCCTCGGAGTCGACATATCGAGTGACGTGCAGTTTCGTGGTCACTTGGAAGAGAAGGCCAAATTGGCCTCTAAAAAGCTTGGCGTGCTCAGCAGAGCGGGACAGTATTTCATGCCGGCACACCGCCTGCAACTTTACAAGGCGCAGGTTCGGCCTCACATGGAATACTGTTCCCATCTCTGGGCAGGGGCTCCCCAGTGCCAGCTCCTTCCACTTGACCGCATCCAGCGCAGAGCGGCTCGAATCGTCGACGACCGAGCCCTTTCCGATCGGCTCGATTCATTGGCACTGCGAAGAGATGTTGCATCTCTTTGCATTTTCTTTCGCATTTACCATGGGGAGTGCTCTGAGGAATTGTTCGGATTAATCCCAGCCGCCAGATTTCACGAACGCACATCGCGGCAGAACTCCCGATACCATCCACACCATCTGGATGATTGGCGGTCCACCACTGTGCGATTTAGAAGATGTTTTCTTCCTCGCACAACTTCCTTGTGGAATAGTTTACCACCAGGGATTTTTCCGGACCGATACGACTTAGGGACCTTCAAGAAAAGAGCCTACTCCTTTTTAAAAGGCCGGCAACGCATCTGCAATTCCCCTGGTGTTGCGGTTGTTCATGGGCGGCGGTAGTCACTTACCATCAGGTGAGCCGCATGCTCGTTTGCCCCCTCTCCAATAAAAAAAAAAAAATGTCCATTGTCCTCATAGTATAATGGAATGAGTTGCATAAAATTAACAAGGTGATTAGCGGTGTTTGCTACCACCAGCGTTTTTGGGAACTGATATGACTTAAAGCCCTTTATTGCATGCCGTAAGCGCAACGCGCATAGGTATGTTCAACTAGCGCCTAAACATCAAGAATTTGTCGCATGAAATCGTATCTAGCAATCATATTATACATATATAAATGATATAAAAGCACATTGTCAGAAAGATAAATGATTGTTGGACTTATAAATTTTTTTGAATCGATTAATTGGTATTAAAAATACATAAAAAGGGGGTTTTAGTGGCTTATGGTGTGGATTTATAAAGTACTCGTAAACACGATAACTTTTGAAAATATCAATTGTTCAACTCCATCTATTATTAAAACTCTTAATCTATCATGTTGAAAGCCATTGAATGTAAATGGCAGTTTAATTTTGTTTTGTTTAGTTATAATAAATTTTTTTCGGCTGTTGAGCAGCCTTGTGTGAAGTCATTTTATTAAACAGACTACCTCAATCGGTTAGTACGGCGTCAACCGCCGTTGCGAGTGTATACTGTATTGGTGGTTTGCAGCGGCTCAAAAAGATCGCTGTATAAATAAATACAAAATATTCGAAAAAAATATTACTTTCTATTTTATATTACTTGATTATTATAATAATCAGAGATTTTAATTACAATATTTTAAAAGCACAGAATAAATAATAGTAGGACGTACTAAAAGTAATTAGGATGTAATATTAATTTATACTTAAATACGTCTTGTACTTTATGGAGTGACATGAATGATGCTATGATGATCATATGAGCATTATGAGTCGTGCACTTTAGATTTTCCAAACTTTTTTCAAATTGAAGATTGACATAAAGTTATAGGAAAATTGGAAGTATAATAAGGTTATTAGTGAAAACTTGTGTGTATTTAAACTACTTTTAAAAAATTCCGTATAATCATGTTATACGTAATTTTTTTTAATGCGATGCAACCACTGTGTCCTTAAAAGTCAGTGTACTCTCGCATACTTGTTTACAACTTGTCTAAGTTTGTTCGCCACTAACCACAAAAACCGCGTTGTTGTGCCATAATTTTTTTTCCTCTTTCCGTTGTAAAAGTCCTATGAGAATGATTGGTGAAGATTCATTTTTTTATCGTTTTCTGTGCCTAAAATAGATTATATTTTATTTCCTTTTTAAACGAAAGCCCAAGTGTAGTTAGTAGTTTAAGGCGCAATACGAACAAAAACACTGAGGCCTTTTAAAATAAGCAATAAGTTGGTCTCCATAATGTATGAGGGTTAGAAGTTTATATACGATATTGAAGCCAATGACGTCACATTTGTCATTTTCCTGCGGCTTGGAAAAGATAATCTCCAGTATTTTGTGTCAATGTGATACGAAGTCCATTTTCTAAAAAGCAACGAACATTTTTGTGGAGAACGTGAAGATCTTGTAAAGCTTTTGAAGTTAATGCAACATCGTAAAAGAATTCGTTTAGTTGGATACACGTTACGTTGGATATTGAATGAATAATTGACATACATAATGTATGACAATTATTCATTCAGCAGTCCTCCTAAGTTTTATTTTACAGATTCGCGAGGATTGTACGATGACTTTGTTAGAATTGGATCTACTTTTTATTTAAACCAAGATGAGTATTTAATGCTGGAAAACATTCCAAAAAAGTGTTTCCGCGATTTCCGTTGCAGTATCTGGCTCTATTTGTCGATGGTATGAAAGGATACAGTAAGCTAGAAGTAAGGAGGGAAGTATCGCTATTCGCTAGCCACATAGTTGTGTAAGGTATAACGCGCTGTGGTCAAATAATTCTAATTCTAACTGTTATTTTAAAATACACCCCCAGAACGTCAACGCTTATTTACAATAAAATATTTTTCTTTATGTTACGTAATCAATATTTTCTTATTTTAAACTTATTGAAATTTATTTTCTACTTTTTAGTTCACTTATCTATAAAAGCGTATTTTTTTTAGGTTTTTTAAACTAATTTTTTTTAGTTGCAGCTAAGTACAAAAGCGTGTTTCTATTTTTGCAATTAAGTAATTTTACGCGGTTTACAGTAACTGGCAGAAATCGTAGTTGTTTTATGAATTATTCGCAAATCCTGAGGATCTTGGCAAAGATAATGGGACGAGCTATTTAAATTATTGCATTGTCATCGGTCCTTAATATGTGTGCGAAGTTTTAAATCAATCCGATGTTTTGAAGGGGATGAAAATCACATTAAAAAATTCCGTTACATAGATACGTACCAAGCTAATAAAAACGTGTTAAAAATTATATTTGTTTCACTAAGGTCAGTGCTAGCTCAAGCTAAGTCCGTGAGCTACGCTCGCTGTAAATTTACAAAGCACAAGTAACCCTGGTTCGATCCCCGCCGGCACCAATAAAATTGGTAATTCCAGTTTTACGTGCTGATTTACAATGTATTCGACGATAACTAAAACATTTAACAATGGTAGAGCTTTTGCTGTCACACGGATGGGCCGGCTCGAACCGGGGTAGTACCACGACCTCACAGAAAACCTGCGTGAAGTAGAGGTTTACCTCTGCGTTTCGCTTGGTGAGTGCAGGTGGCCGGAAGCCCTTTTTACTGGAAATGAGGCATTCCATCTTAGTCCTCACGGGTGACAACGCATCTACATTTTGATTTGTAATAGAGGATAGATGTAGATGTCTATGGGCCGCAGCAACCACTTACCATCAGGTGGACTGTGTGCTCGTTTGTCACCCTCATCCTATAAAAAAAACATCATTAGGAATACTGAACGACTCAGGAATCAAATATTTCGAGGAAATATTTGTGAGTCATAGGGGACATATTTTTCCAATCGTCTGCTGTGTGTGTGTGTGTAGTCATCAAAAACAACATGTCGAATGCGTTGTCACCCTTGTGGATTAACATAATTCCTCGTTTCCAGTTAAAAGGCAACCCGGTCCTGTACACTCACCATGCGTATTGTACAGTACAACACTGCAGTATTGTGTTTATATTTTAGGCTGGTATTCTGTGAGAGCGTGGTAATATTTCGTTCGAGCTGTACCCATTTACGCTACAACTATACTACGAGTATAACTGCAGTGTGGCTTTAGCACGTACAAAAAGTTGGTGGTAACTGCGGTTTTTATACTGTTATGTTATTTTATAGGAAGAAGTTGCCGCCCATCTCCTGTTTCAGTTTCACTCTGCCACCGCTTATGACACTCAAGGGACGATATAAGGTAGTGGATATTCTTACACCACTACTACACCTGTACCCGTTGTTGGAAATACACTAATAACACACTATGTTTACCGATTTCAAACAGGAGGAGGTACTTAATTCAACTGCATGTTTTTTATGTGTGTTACCTCATAATTCTTTTCTGGGTGAACCAATTTCGATGATTCTTTTTTTATTTGAAAGTGGTGCTTCACATGTGGTCCCATATATATATATATATATATATATATATATATATATATATATATATATCAAGGCTTGACCAATAGATTTTGAGTTATTCTTGATAATTTATATTGAAGTCGGACATATATATTTTTTAATTTTAAATTATATAAATTCAATACGACGAACAATATTATCTGGTTTTTTTGTTAAATAAAACGTAACTGCAGCAACTAGTGAGAAACAGTGCAAATATAGAATAAACCTCAGGGTAATAGCAGGCAGTTATAACAATTACAGCACGACTAATATTTTCTTAAACTTCTATACAAAAGCACGATCAAACTAAAATACGCATGCAGTGTTTTATTTACAGTTGTTTAACTGCAATAAAGCAAGAAATCATTGGGAATAAATAAAAACTCCACCACTAGGACCTAATAATATATAGGACGTAATATACCCCTTATGTGCCTTCAGATTTTGATAAAATTTACAGGCATTTTTCCAATGGAGATATATCGCATTAATAATAATAATAATAAAAAAAATGGCGGACGTTGTCAAAAGTAAATGATGCAGTCAGTACAAAATCTTAAAAATTATTTTTTGTAGCATATGTTTCAAGTTCCCAAATAACAAATTTTCAACGCAAATAGATTTTACAATATCAATATAAATAAAAACTTTAAAAATCTGTGGATAAGAAACTAATTTCAAGAAAAAATTTATTTCTTTCAAATTGACAACTGTCATATAAGAAATTTTACAAACAGATTTATAAAATATTTAATTTAACGTTACATTATGCATCGAACGAGACGACAAAGACGAATAAATACCGCCAATACCACAATCGCACACGTAACATCGCCTACGGAGGACTACACATCCATGGAATGTAATCCTAGAGGCACAAGAAGAACCCCCGTACCATCTTTGAGGGGACGAAGAGTGCCACCGGCTGGCTTGGGACCTGCAGGAATTACCATCCTACAAGAGGACCCCGCTACTGATGGTGTAGTGCGACGACGCATGCGCTGGACTAAAGAATTAAATATAAGTGTTATGCGCGCGTACTATAAGGCTACCAAAGGAGGAACCAATCTTACATCTTATCGCCCTAAAATGCTATCTGAATTCCAACAGCTACAGCCCAACCTAACAAACTTAACTGCCCAAAGACTTTCAGATCAAGTACGTGTCATTCTAAGTCGTAAGATTTTGGATGACAGATTACTTGAACAACTTTGCAGTGAGTACTCAACATCTTCTATCAATTCAATTCCTGATTCCCAACGAACACTTCCAGGTGAGTCTGATGACTTAAATGTTAATAACAGTAACCATAATATAAATATTACTAACTTAAACAACGAAAAAGTAGAGCAAAATTGTTTTGATATAGATGTGAGTTCCCAGGACAGCGAATATATAAGAAGGACTTTCGAATGTTCTCTTTTGGAATATAAAAATACACCTATAGAAAATAGACCGAAACTACCTAAACTGCCTAACAACAAAAAAACTATATTAACAGTAGCATCAATGAATGTTTTATGTAAAGATTATTTTGAAAAAAGTAATTCTATTTTGGAAACTATGTCTCTTCTATACTGTTGTGCCCATGCTGTATGTATGATAATGAAAATTCCTATCATTTCAGTACAAAATTTTAAGAAAAATAATACAGAACCTAAATGGAAACAAAGAATTCAAAAACGAATTGACAATACTCGCAAAATTATAGGAAAATTAATAAGCTACCAAACAGGTAACAGGCGTAAAAAAATAATTACTTTAGTAAATCAAATCTCTAATGAAAATAATATTAGCCATTTAGATCCCCATTTTCCGGATAAAATTACTGAGTACATTGATACGCAAAAACAAAAGTTAAAAGCATGGGCCAACCGTATTAGACGATATTCAGAAAGGTCTAAACGGTACTTCCAAAATCGCACATTCGAAAGTAATCAAAAGTGGGTGTATCGGTCTTGGGAGAGCACTACAACTAATAGTTGTACTCATGGCAGCCCTAGCTTAATTGAATGTCTAAATTTTTGGAAAAATATGTGGTCTAATGAAGTTTCTCATAATGAAGGCGAATGGATTCGTGCAACCGAACGTAAGTTTTCTAATTTGGCTAACATGGGTTCTATCTCAATTACTGCTGAAGATGTATACTCAATTACTCGTAGATTACACAATTGGAAATCACCTGGACCAGATGGTATACACAACTTTTGGCTGAAATGGATAACAAGTAGCCATGTGCGTTTGGCTGCACAGATTCAAGAAGCCATTGAGTGCTGTGAGCTCCCGAGACTTCTTACAACTGGTATTACCCACTTACTATATAAAAATGGAAACACCACGGAACCTAAAAATTACCGACCTATAACATGCCTTTCAACTGTATACAAATTAATAACTGCAATTTTAAATAACAAGATCTATAAACATTTGGAAAATAATAACATTCTGTCAACCGCACAGAACGGATGTCGGAAAGGGTCACGTGGTTGTAAAGAACTTCTTCTCATTGACACAGCTATTTGCCGACAAGTTCTTCGTAATCGCAAAAATATGTCCGCTGCTTGGGTGGATTACAAAAAGGCATATGACTCTGTTCCACATTCATGGCTAAAGAGAGTTTTAGAAATATGTAAAATAGATGACAAAATTTGTAAGTTTTTAAGTAAATTAATGGGTCAGTGGAACACTATCCTAAATCTACCAGGTAAGTGGCAAAGTAGTTCGATAGACTCTATAAATATTAAGCGGGGTATATTCCAGGGCGATAGTTTGAGCCCTACTTGGTTTTGTTTAGCCCTGAATCCTTTAAGCACTATTATTGAGGAATCTGGATTAGGATTTCGGTTTCGAAAAGAAAACTCACCCATCTCACATCTACTTTACATGGATGATCTCAAGCTATTCACATCAAAAGAGAGTGATCTATTATTATTGTTGAAATTAACACATAGTTTCAACAATGATATTAGAATGGAATTTGGAATAGATAAATGTGCTGTCATAAACGTAAATAGGGGCAAAATTAAAGATTGTAATAATTTTGCAATTACAGATGACTTACATTTCAGTTCTCTTTCTGAGACAGAAACCTATAAATACTTGGGCATGGCAGAAGTGCTAGGAATTAATGACAAAAACATTAAAGAAAATTCAAAAGTAAAATTTATGTCAAGATTAAAAAAAGTTATCAAAAGTCATTTATCTGGTGGAAACAAAATTAGAGCATATAACTCCTGGGTAATACCTAGCCTTCTATATACTTTTGGTATTACAAGATGGTCTCAAACGGAATTGGATGACTTAGATAGACGAGTCCGCACATTAATGACTACGCACAGAATGCACCACCCGCGATCATCTGTCATGAGGTTGTATCTGCCAAGAAAAGATGGTGGACGGGGCTTATTAAACATTAAAAACCTACACAACCGTGAAGTATACAACCTCAGAGACTATTTTATTAAAAAAAAAGACACATCACGCATTCATAGTGACGTAGTGATTAATGACAAATCATTAACCCCGCTTAATATGTCGGCAAAGGACTGGCAGAGGCCTCATACTATGACTATAGATGAACGCAAAAAGGTTTGGAATGACAAACAACTGCATGGTCGATTTTTTAAAACATTGACTAATCCTTGTGTAGACATGGTTGCATCAGTACATTGGTTACAGTTTGGTGACCTTTTTGCAGAAACTGAAGGGTTTATCTGTGCAATACGAGACGAAGTAATTAAAACGAATAACTACCGGACGTACATTTTGAGGGATGGCACAGTTGACGTATGTCGCGCATATCACCACCCTGGAGAGTCCCTCAGACATGTTATTTCCGGTTGTTCACAACTATCAAATGGCGAGTATTTGCACAGACATAACCAAGTAGCTAGAATAATACACCAGCAGCATGCGATTAAATTTGGTTTTACTCAACAGGACGTTCCATATTATAAGTATGAACCAAAACCAGTCCTTGAAAATAGAAGTGTCACGCTGTACTGGGATCGGTCAATTATCACAGACAGGTTTATAGTGGCAAATAAACCTGACATTGTGGTGATAGACCGAACTGCACGCAAGGCAATAATAGTGGATATCAGTGTTCCTCATGACGAGAATCTCGTGAAAGCAGAGAATGATAAAAAGATAAAATATATCGACTTGGCTCATGAGATTGTCGCTATGTGGGACGTTGATTCTACTATTATTGTACCAATAGTTGTTTCAGTCAATGGGCTTATTGGTAAAACTATGGACGACTATCTATCCAAGTTGGGTTTGGGCAAATGGCTGAAGGGATTAATTCAAAAATCGGCCTTATTAAATACGGCTCGAATAGTGAGAAGGTTCCTATCTTTGGATGCCTAATTTCACCGATGGCTTAGGATTCCTCGCCGCGGTGGATAATAGCCGAAATAATAATATTATTTATATAGATTGTATTTATATTTATAATATTATAGTTTTGTGACAATATATATGTGATAATGTAATAATAATAATCGTAATAATCGCGAAGTGTGCAGCCTCCGTAATTACTTTCTGACGACAGCGGATGATCCATACTATAGGGACGTTATTTCTTGTGATAAAGGACTGACCCCTCTATCCTTAGCCAACGAGCAATGGCAAGACCCAGCAGTACAGTGCATTTCCGACCGGGAGGCCGTATGGAAGGAGAAGGAGCTCCACGGGAGGTTCTACAAGGCTCTACATGAGCCTTTCGTAGACACAGTCGCCTCCCTTCACTGGCTACGTTTCGGTGACCTCTTTGGGGAAACCGAGGGTTTTGTCTGTGCAATACAGGATCAGGTTATTAAGACCAACAATTATCGGAGATACATTCTAAAGGATGGCGCCGTCGACATCTGTCGAGCTTGTCGCCATCCCGGTGAGTCACTTAGGCATGTCATCTCCGGTTGTTCGGCGCTTTCGAACTCTGAGTATTTGCACAGACACAATCTAGTAGCCAGGATTCTACACCAGGAGCTCGCTCTGAAATACGGCCTAGTGGATCGGAAACTGCCGTATTATAAGTACTTGCCGGAAGCCGTGCTCGAAAATGACCGCGCCAGGCTCTACTGGGACCGGGCCATCATCACAGACAGGACTATTCTTGCGAATAAGCCTGATATTGTGCTGATGGACCGGGCACAGTCAAGGATCTTTTTGGTCGACATTACCATTCCTTATGACGAGAAACTCGTGAAAGCCGAAACAGATAAGGTGACAAAATATCTGGACCTGGCTCACGAGGTTACCGGCATGTGGGGTGGTCTGCCGGCCGAAATTATTCCTGTGGTCGTTTCTGCGAACGGGTTAATCCCAGTCAGCCTCCCGGGTCATCTGAGGCGACTGGGACTCCGTGACGGACCGCTCCAGGCTCAAATGCAGAAGGCGGTGCTCCTCGATACCGCCCGCATCGTCCGCCGGTTTCTTTCCCTTTTCCCCTAACCCTCGGCCGTCTGGTCTCCCCTGCCGAGGGCTTCCATCTGGTTGGGTTTTTATATATTTATGTATTTTTTATGTATTTATTTTATTTTATTCATATTTATGTATGTTTACCATTTTCATTTACAATTATATATTTATACTGCCCAACCAGATGAGAAAACTTTATAGATACCCCAAAATAATAATAATAAGTGTTTATTTCAGACGTAAGGAACATCCATAGATTGTTAGTATGTTAGTAACAATTTTTCCTTAACTTGTAAGTTAGTATTGTTAGTTAATGTGAATTATGTACAAATTATTTTTTTCGCCCAATAGCATTGCCTCAGTCTCTAAATTTTAAATGATTCATCGCCTCAATTTAATATGCTATTCTCTCGGTTGGTCAAAATCTATATTTTTTCCAGCATCAATTCATTGTATGAAGAATTGCAAATAAAATCCTTGTTATTGTCCAATATTGTTTATACCGATTAGGGAATCAGGCTCTTGGTGACTTTGACAAATGGAATTTGCTGATTCTGTCATTTCTATTTCAAGAGAATGTTGTTAGTGTTGTGTTTGGTGCAGAGGGATGAATATAAGATAGTGATCTAATTGGCGAAATTGTGGAAGGCTGACTTTTTCAACATTTAAAGGAATGTAATTAGGGTATGCCATAGAATCATCATCATCAGAGTCTCCCACTGTTTCTGGTAATTTTTTAATATGCGTTCCTGTAAAGAAATCTTTGACTTTGACTTTATTTTCAAAATATATCATACAATAATGAGTACTTATGTTCTACAAATTTACTTTAAGAAGCTTGGAAGCGACCACCTCATTCTCAGGGGTTATTATCAACCATGTATTAATTTATGTTATAATAACAATTTTTATACAGTTTTTGTTTATTTAATTGTATATTTTCTGGGACTTTGTTGTTTTAATTACTGACTATGAGTTTAGTTTAGTTATATTGGGTGTTGTTGACATGACTGTCCGCGTTTTAACGTTTTAAATCTTGACACAGCATTCTAAAATATGTAAGCGTATGTGCATACATCTATTGTGGTGACTAAATATCATAACTCTTTGTGGTACGTCAGATCTGCTCCAATAAAACATAATATTCCTCTTACGCGCGCATAATACTTCTCTACTATACGGCTATATAGCCTAAAACAATTTCCGACTCTCTAGATATAGACGACATATGATTTTTTGCAATTGATTCAAAAAGTAATTAATATTCTATTATAAGAAAATTTGAGATTACGTATTGCTTATAGTATAATCCAAAGGCATTAAAAACGAAAAATCGCATTTTTGCATATACCCCCCTTATGGTTTGAAACCCACGTATACATGAGTGTATGTGCACTCTCTATTCCCTCACTCTCGTAGTCCCTTAAACGAGATTCCGATACGACTGTAAAAAGATCAGTCAGACCAACGGATGTAACGCTTTCCGAAGCACAGGGACGAAAACACCGGCAACTTCCTGCCACCAAGCCGCTACTGAAAATTTCTTTAGAAGTAAATCTAATAACTTGTTTTGGTCCGACACGGGATTTGAACCAAAGAGGTATTCAAAGACTGACTTCAAAAATACAATAAGTAAATATTTCTAGAAAAACAAATTTAACCAGCTTTAGAGATTAATTTCGGTGGAGAAAGCAATTGCGATTTGATACATAGCTAAACAGCAGTGGCATACTTTATTATCGTTCAAGGGAGAAATTCTTTTCATGTAAAATATAAATGTTTGAACTTAAAACTCAAAGAATAAATATATAGCCACATGCAAAAACTCAAGGAAAAATAACGGTTTAGTGAATAAGCCCCCATGGTTTGAGAGCCGCATATACATGTCGGCTCGGCTCATGGAACTCGTAATACATTACTAGGTGGTAGAACTGCTTTTCAGTCAGGAGTCGTCTGAGTAAGTATTTTTTAAAACATAATTAGGAATGCTATTAACATTAGGTGCTAATGTTATTTAATAGCATTCCTAGGGTTTATTTTAGCGGTAAACGTGCAAACCTGTTTTCTTAGGGTATCTTAACACCTAAGAAGGGCTTTGCACGTTGCACTTGGCACGAAGGCTATCAGTACTGAAATTTCAATTTACAAATTCATAGGTGCAGGCGTTAACCGAATTCGGCTTGCTCTGAATGTGCTTCATTTTATTTAGGAACTACTATCTATTTGTTCATTATTTACATTACTCATTTTCGGTCATTCATTTATTAACCACTCCGGGTAAGTTTTAAATGCTTGTGTTAGGAATGGTTCCGAACAGCAGTCGAATGGAGAGAAAAATTTACAAATAGTCATTCATGTCTTAATCGCTTGCATAACCTCCTGAGCTCAATAAAATGCAGTTATTTTTATATTACAGACAGACACGTCTATTTTATTTACATGTATAGATAATATTTCACAATGCAATACACTCACGGTCTTCTAATCGTTGGTTATCAGTCACATAAATTAATTAACTCTATCTGTCTCTTGTCTTTTTCTATTGTCATTTAGAGAAATGAGAAACTATTAAACTTTGAGCATTCCTTGTAACGAAGTAAATATTTATGAGTGAGTATGAATAATTATGCCTCATCCGTTAGATAATTAGTCCATTATAACTCACTTTCAGAGATTATTAAGTTAAAAAGAAGTTGGAAATCTCAAACAAAGTTCTAGCTAACTCTGTAGAAGGGAATGTCACTGTCGAAGACCTTTAAATTTCAAGCATCGTTAAGTCTTGACATTGAAGGATCGTTAAAGTTCAGTAGATATATTTAATAATTTTCTATCAAATGTAAATATATTTTTCTTTAGAATTAGCTTCACGTTAAGTGGACACTACAAATAGGCCCTCTCTCATTTCTGAAAGGGTTATAAAGTAATTAGTCCGCTAGCAATTAGTGCAGACTTCGCATGTCCTCAAACATTTAATTCCCCGCGATGTTGCCTTCGCCGTTGAGCCCGTGGTAAATCAGCACTTACATTGCAAATTAACAATTTCATTCGTGCCGGTGAGAATCAAATTCTGTTTTTTTTTTTGAATAAGTGTGCCAAACGCGCACACAGTCCACTGGATTGTAAGTATGCTGTGGCCCAATGATTACATTTTTCCTCGATTAAGAAACATTAAGCTGTTGCGTTGTTACCCCTGAGGACTGAGACTGAATGTCTCTTTTCCAGTAAAAAGGGCCTCTAGTTCTCTACGAAACCCAAGCCAACCCCAGCCCAAGCTGCTATAATACGCCTCTGTGTGAGCATGGTCCCTCCCCGGTCGAACCGGCCAATTTGGGCTACAGCCATAATATAACTACAATATGGATGGATATAGCACATGCAAGTCGTAGTTATCTAGTAAATAAAAGTCGGTAAATTTACCTAACTCTTGAGCAATAATATATAAAAATAGGAAGTAAATTTTGCACACATTTTTAAAAACTCTGACACGACGATGAAATGTTTTTGAATACCAAACATAGTATACCGGTCGAGCCAGGGTCTGACAATATAATCTACATAAAATAAAAAAAAAATCTCTTCAACATTTAACTGAAATTAAGTTCTACGGATTTTATTGCGTATATTAACTTATTTTACGTTACTCATGTTAACGGAGGTATTCTTGGAAACGTCGTCAATTTAAAATTTGTTAATATGCGCGAGAAAATTCGTAAATATTTGTTTCATTTAAATGTGTAGTGTTTGCGTGAACATAAGAAATCGAAAATCTACAAGTTTTTTGGGTATAAATATATTCTAAATTCCTTCTGGCATCGCTCTCTATCTATTCATAAAGTTTCATCACAGTCGGTTCAGCCGTTCTCAAGAATAGCCCGAACAGACGGACAGAGAGACACAAGCAGACAGACGAAAGATTTAAGAATGGTTGTTTATATCTTAATCAAATGACCCTCGGAGCTTAATATACCCTAGTTGTTTTAATATTGCAGACAGACAGAGACAAGGTGTCATTCGTTCAATGTTTAGTGATAAATTTGATGATTTGAATAATTTCTCTCAAGCAAAGTTTGAAATTAAATTCGTTAAATTTAGCCCGTCACAAGCAGCAGTGAATTCAACTAAAATTTAGAGCCGTGGTAGCTTAGTTGGTTAGCGCTCGCTGTGAGTTTCACAAACCGTTATCAGGCAACTCTGGTTTGATCCTCGCCGGCACCAATGAAGTTGATAATTGCAATTTTTAGTGCTGATTTACTACGTGCTCGGCGGTGAAGGAAGACATCGTGAGGAAAACTCCATGTCTGAGAAATGAGAAAGAAATTTATTTCGAAGACATGATGTTCGTCAAGACGAATTGAGACAGCGTGGTGGACATTTCCTTGCCCTAAAACCCCAAAGAAACGAGAGGAGGCCTGTGCCCAGCAGTGGGACGTAACTTTAACTTTTAAACGAGGCTGTAACTTTAACTAAAGTTTGTCTCAGTTCGGATGCAAACATTTATTAATTAATTTCAAATCTTGAATATACGTCTTGATTGAAGCTAGTATTAATCACGTGAACGATGTTTCCTTTGCCGTGGTGTCCAATAAAAAATCAGTTATTTATTTTCAAGAAGCTAGTTATCTGGGGGCACGGCAGTGCCCCCGCCAAGTCGAGCAAAAAAGCGGCACGGCTATACCATCCTTTTCTCGAAGCTGTTCAGGCCATTTTCGAAACCCTATAACTTCATTTTGGATAAAACTAGAAGCTTGAATTTTAAGTTACTAAGAAAGCATTGTAGAAACTCGGTATATTTCAAATTTTATTAAATTTGAACTAGTAGTTTAACAATTATATTTAATCAAAGTTTCTTAAATTTGTCACTCACTGATAACCGATCATCAAAACTCTAAGGCACTTCTATTGGACATATAAGTTTCAAATTTGGAATACAATTATTGTTTACTACATAAATCAAGGAAAAAACTATAATATTTTGCAATTTCGGTTCAGTTTTCGAGATACACTAACTGCATAAATAACTTTGTAATCCCATA